AAGTGGGTTAAAAGTGACTTAATTTCGTCAATAAGTAATGTTCACCAATGTAATGCATTATTGAAATGGAGAAACCAGTGGAATTTCAATAAATGAGGTTTCGCTTTCAGATTCTAAATAATAATGAATATCCAATGTTTTCACTTTCTGTTTGGCAATTATTCTCATGCTTTAGAAAGCATCTGATTATTTATTTATACCAAATGGCAGTCATTTTGATAGTTATTATTAGCCCTTTAGTTGGCTCCAGACTTCACAGAGAGGAAGGAACATCCAAGTGAAAATAAGTCGAGAGGGGGGGAACAGAAGTGTATTTCAAAGATGTAAAAGAGACAGACACAAAGGTAGAGTGAAAAAGGTGAGGTGAGTACTGTGAAGTAGTCGAATATGCATACAGTGGGGTGATGGTAGTTTGAAGCCGGAAGTCAACTGTCGGTTAATAGACTTTTTTGTCGTAAGAGTATACGTTGCCCAGGGTGCACCACGTGGAGGTAAGTCTATCACACACTCCAGCATCTGATTATAATATGTCCAATATGAATAATTAAGTTAATGCGTTTGCTAAAATTAATAGCGCATCCAACTGACTAGTTCAATTTGCACAATCGCATTTATTGAAATTGCTAAGAATTCTTGTACTTGCTGCAAATTGGATTACGCGATAGTAAGTCGCCACTTTGTTACTGGAATGATTGGTAGAGTGCTACCATTCGATTTTGGACATGGATTCTACTCTTCTTGAGCTTGAATTCGAACCTGTAATTAATTTTTTGAATTTGAAAAATGCTCTTTCCGAGTGGAAGGTATTCCAATTTTTGACCAGCCGATTTCTCTACCAAATTCCAATATTTTTACTTTATAAAGACCAAATCTCTTTTACGTTCTGTGCACCAACAAAACTTTTTAAACAAAATTATGATCGATTACGATATTCAAACTTCTCATAGTATTTCTCTCTTTTATTTAATCATGAAATAGTAATCGAGATAAATATAAAAAGAGACCTCAAATTTTATGAAGAAGAGATAAAGGTCCTTCGAACATAATTCTGCTATTTACTATCAATTTGAACAGATTAATATGATCTTTAAATGAAGATCACACAATTCGATTTGCCTAGTTTTGAAGAACGTGCTGTGCTTGATATCTAACTTCCGCCATTTTCATATTTGCAACTCAAGTAGTAGCCAACCATAAGGCTTCAAGTTTCGTGCTGATTCTAGCCGTTGGAAAAATCAATTTTTTTCTAAATATAGTGTGCTTTTCAAGAAAAAACCCGATCCGATCATCAGAGCGGGTAGCAGTAGGCTGTCTGAAAATGCTTATTGTGTATTTTCTGTGTCGATGGCGTAACGTTCAAAATGAATTCCACACTAATTTATATATTGAAGAATGTTCAGTAAACATATGATTTGCCAATACGAACCTAATTATATGCCCGAAGGGAAGTTTAATAGCATTTATTATCAATAGGGACATATTTTTGTTTCATCATACCTGGAATCTAAAACCACCCCAAACAGTAGTTAAAACTATGTCCCACTTTCTATTAAAATAATAATGGCAGCTGAATGAGTTCCTGAATTTTATAAAACTTGTTCTTCTAAAATCTACATGGAAAGTACTTTCACTTCAATTAAGTGGTTCTAGCAAATTTTTAATTTCCAAAATGATGACCTCTTAGGAAGAAGCCACTGGATTAATAGTCGCATGTACTTTTTCTTTTGTTCCAGTCAACCTAACACCCCTGTACAAATTGCGCACAAGTCGATTCTTCGACCGGACAGCAGTTGCTCCTAACGCAGCCTCACGAGGTGTTGGCTTTTCCGGGGACGTTTTCGCTTCCGCTCTAGATCCGTCGTCTTCCATCAGCCCGGAGCAAGTGTTCGCAAATGCTAGTCAAGAACCCTTCGCTATTCGGCACATTTACTTTGATGTGGAATCAAGAACTCTTCTACTGGCCGGTCAGCGACATCTTTGTCTTCTCGCTTTCTGTCGCAGCGAATCTGCTTTCGAGATTCCTGTAAGTTATTAAATACCGTTTTTTGTTTAGTTTGTTAATTTAAATTGGTTGGAGTTAACGTAGAGCATTTAGTTTTTGGTCTTGGGTTAACAAAAGAGAGTGTAAAATTGTTCACCATTAGAACGTATCCAATCAATAGAAGCACTAGAGTATTCCAAGTTAAGATAGCCGAGGAAATTATACATGATAGTGACCAGACCTAAATCGTCTACTTCTGCCCTGTAAACTTTCAACAATGAACTATTACCTTCTTGTTCCCTTTTGAGTTATTAAACGAAGCGAAGACTAAGTACTACATTAATTGTCATTTTATCGATTTTTTTGGCTTACATTAATTTGGCGTCCTGTGTTGAAGAGGCTTGGATTGCAACGGATTTTATTGTTCAACTTAGACAAGCCAAGAGCTGCGCTCAATTTTGTTCCCATGCATACAACAATTTGTCAAAAGCTGCTAATTACCCCTGAGGGGAAGTGTTGGGCGTTTTAGATTTGCCAAACAATATTGGGAAAAAATTGCTGCTCTACTCCCTTTGATTTTGTATTTGATGCAAATCCTAATTAGACTCTATTAGATCACTTCTAAATTAACTTTAAATAAAGCAAATTATTGGTCTTGTGTAAATTCGTTTATAAACAGGGTTAAGTGTGTTTATATTGCTTTAATATACTTCCTGCATATTTGAGCACAGAGTTTGGATTATAACCACTTCTCTCGCTTTTCCGCCGGCTGTTTCAACTACTCCTAAAGGTCTTTGGATCGACGTATTTGTCTTCGAACTTTAGAGTATCTCTATAGAGATCGGGAAAATTCAAAACTTATTTCGTAATTTTTTAAAATTTTTTCTTGAGTGTAAAACTAGCACCTTTTTGAAGCTTGTCTTCTGATAATTCAAACTAGTCAAAGACTTCTTTAAAACAAGTTCACCTGTATGCACACTTTATTAGCAATCGATATCATAAACAATTCTAACAGAAATGGATTTTTTTCGTATATTGCATCACTCTATTACTCCGTAATTGTATTTTATCGACTTCTTGTCTTATTGCCAGTTACACGCATTTGACTCGTCTGCATGAGATGTTCTTGTCTCGTATTTCCTGGAATAATTTTTTTCATTTACAGAATTTCAAATTCCTTCCTCCACCAACATGGACTACTAATGCGTCTCTGTAATAATTGTGCTATATTATTTAAATTTTAATGAAATAGCTTTCAACAGTTCGGGTATATGACTTTTCTATTGAATTTTCTTTCATTTTGGCGCCTTCTTATAGCCTGACATCAATTATTAACTCATGTCGTTACTTTTGCTCCCTCTTTCTCCCCTATTCTAATACGCAGCTCATCCATCGTCGTGTTAATCCATTTTGAATTAAAACTGCTTCCCCTATGAGCGTACTCACCCCTAATTTAAATTCACATATAAAATCCTACTGCTCCACTTCAATGGTGAAACCGAGTATTTTCGAGATCTTTTCTTGGTGAAGTTGAAATCTCTGTTAACTTCAATGGGCTCTGTCTTGCTGAAGCATCGTGGCTATTATAGATGTTCAGGGTAAATCAATAAATTAATTAAACTATCCATTATATCGGAAGTTAAGTGCTATAATGTACTGTCAGACCCGTTGTCATAGGTCATGTTTCAGTTATTTTTAACTCAGAGAAAGAAGATGGAGACGTGACTCTTCCAGATCAAAACAATTTTCTTAATGTAATTAAGAACATATTTGTAGACAATAGCGTATTTTTTCGGAATTCGGTTGAATCTAGAAGACAAATCACTACTCTTCAAAATCCGTATATTGTAGATTGATTGATTAATGTTGGTTGAACTTATCATATCGTGATCTGGTGGTGTAAATTTGGCGTTTTCATGACGTAAAACTTACGTTTTAAGTGCTGTCTTCAATCTTTGCCTCCACTTAATCCATCTCCTCTCACTAGATCATTTCACTGTTCCCCGTGCGATTGCAAATTTTGCGAAATTTCCCTCTGATGTGAGTAAAAGTTCCTACCCTTAGAAATGGGGAAGGGGTATTATTTAATCAGCTTCGTTGTACATTGCAGGCGATTATGACCACTGATAAGGCTTCTTCACATTATGGGTCGGTTTTATGGTAGAGGGCAATTTTCTACTCAGGTAGTGCAATTTTAAGGCATTAGAAGTGAGGTGAATCACTTCGAGTCGATGCGCTATGGGGGCACGGTTGCACATAGTCTGCGTACATTTCAGGTCTTTATGCTGCTTTCATCAAGTCCGAAAATTGTAAATAAATTTGAACAAGCACGTCTCATTTCAAGCAAAATTTAATGTAGTTAAGTGAGCGTGGCCACTGTAGGTCTATGCTTAAAGCCAACCTTTTCATTTGGTTTCTTTACCCTGAGCCATTCCTTGTATATTTGATTGTTATTATTGAATATCTATTTCTTATGGATCATAGGAGTGGTTTAAACCGCCATGTACTAAGAGATTGGCATTGGTTTGATGCAAAAGTGCCGACAGGGTTTTGGCGGTCATCGATCTTGCGCAAGAATGGACAATTCCTCGTGTTCTTCATAATCTATTTATGAGGTAGACCTTTAAATACGGACTGGCTTGGGAGATAATCTTTCCTATTCCCATTTCCACCGTTTTGTTCAAGAGTCAACTGTTTGGTGAGTAGTTTTAACGAATGCATTGTTAGCTCTGCAGAGTACTCCAGAGAATCATTCTTAATATCTTTATTCGTGTCTTTAATTGTCGATATTTTAAGCCTTGACTCTATTTCCTTTCGAGGTTTGTTCCTCAAAATCTGATTACTTTGTCTTATTCACTTTCTCAGAATATGCGTGTTGTAATTCGTTTTGCACTTAAAATTTATCCTCTGTTGAACATTTTTCTCCCATTTTTCGCCCCTTTCGATTTTTGGCGAAAAACTACTTGACTCCAGGAGAAATTCTTTTCGCAAATTTGACAACTTTGCGGATCCATAAAAAATGAGCTTTCTTTGAATTGCATTGAACGGCTTCTCAAAAAGCGTATTTTGCTCTATTTATAAACTTCTCCTTCCCATTCACTGGCACTTTTACTTGCTCCATTATTTTTCCTTTGTATAAAAATCACAGAAAATTTGCCGTTTTCTATCTACAGCAACATAACGCGTTTCAATAAACCCACTCGATTCCCATGCCATATTAATACGAAAAATGTGCCTTTTTTTTGATGGTGAGAATCAGCTCACGTCTAATAGTAAGGAGTCCAGTATAAGGTGAAATGAATGGAGGGAGGTAGGTGGGGGGTGG